TTACTTAGTACTACGTACTAGTGGTATTCTTCTTCAATTATAAGTGAGATGTTTTAGGTTTTATTCTCACAAAAAACGAATTTGAACCATATTATTACTAATCTATTATGAAGCTAAACCAACTCTCAATCCTTTTCTCTTACCATAGATATATCATTTGTTAAAAAAATAATAAAAAAATAAATAAAATAATAATAATAATAATAAAACTTACAATCTCTTCCCTCCAAATCTCCCTCTCCTTCAATGTCCTCTCATTTGAACGGTGACAATAACACTTAGCAAATGGATGAAACATGAATCAGAGATGCTCACGAGCCCTAAAAGTTTTCAACCCGAAAACCCTACCACCCTTCCTTGTGGCCGACAATGCTAAAACCCTAAAAGGCCTTTAATTCAAAAGGCCTACTTTGCCCTACAGGTACATGGCGGGCATAACACGACTGATCAATAAAACTAAAGCTCCATGTTCTTCAAATAAAAAAAAATAAAAAATAAAAAAGTTCCATATATGCCTTTGTTAATTGAAAAGTCAATGTCAATTTCCATTAAAAATCATCATAATCGTCAGAGCTCACACGATCGGATGGCAAATTTCATAGGATTCTTGGTTTCAGCAAAGTGATGTAGATTGTGGAGAGAGTCCATAATAAATTTTTCAGTGTATTCAAACATGGACTGGTGCAGTGGTACATCACAATATCATAATGTGAGCTTTCTTTTGATTGATGAATTTGCACTTGTAAAATAGTAACACTTAATGTTAAGATCAAAAGTCTCACGCTCCCACGATAAATGGGGAGTTTTGTTCGAAGAATCTCCAATGCCAAAATTAGAATTTTGAAAAGAATGTGTTTGAGTGTTTGTGGATAGCAAAAATCTACTTTAGGGGTAACTAAAGTTTACTGAATTTTGGAGATAAATGGTATATTTATAGGAGAGATGGAGGAGTGGGCCGACCTCTAGGATTTAAGGTGGCAGGCCCTATGTGATATTTTAGATGAGAATATTTCAAGATATTTGTGTAAATAAATATTTTGAAGTAATTAGGTAAATATTCTAAATAAATGAAATTAGGATAACTTACTTGAAAGATGTCATCTTTAATTAGAAATGTATTTATGATAAGAATAAGGGATTATTCTATCATGCCTTGAGCAGTCGTTAATCTCTGTCTGCTCTACTTCAGCTGAACGTGGTGAATGAGGTTGCTTGCCCCTCATTTAATAGGGATAGTTTTGTCTTGCTTGAAAAATAATTTACGTGTTAGTTCTATAATTTTTTGGCTCCAAAAATAATGTGAATGGAGGAACATATGTAAAAAAGAGAAACTTCTCGCTAGTTATATTATTATATGTATTGTACTGGCTCGTGCTCGAGTATATGGAAAAATCTGAGAATCCAGCTTCGCTTTGCACTACACGTACGATTAGTGTGCGCCAAGTGTCATGTAATCTAACGAAGGAGTGCAATGTTTCAACGTTATAGAGAATTTACTTATACTCCAAGTATCCAATGGAAGAAAGTGGAGAAAAAAGTATAGAACTTTTTCATACCTTTTATCTTTAGTGTGATGGAGTGGGGATATATACAAGGACGCATGCACGCACTAAGGATTGCAACCACTTTCACCTTTATTCTAAAGAAGAAGCAACCCTCTTATCTTCCACCTTTATTCTCAAGAAGAAGCAACCCACGATGATATTGCATATTATCAGAAGCCGAATACTTGAAAAAGATTTTACAATGATATTTGCATATATCGTCATGTAATATTATAATCGATGTGTTGTAATATTTGTGAACGGTGAGATTATATTTTAGAGTATAATATCTACAAAATATGCATGTGATCAAACAAAAAACATGTGCATGTGGTATGTTTGTTTGTCTGTTTGTTTTTTTTTTTTTTTTTTTTTTAACTTCAGTTGGTGTCTTCGCCATGACAGTTTACCTTTCCGGAGGCCAAGAAGAATACAAAGACATTTCAACCTTCTCCTGACCATCATCATGTGATTCACCATAGGAATCAAACTCAGGACACGCCATGTGAAATACAGACGTAGAATTCGTCCCCAACCACTGAGAGAGGGAAATGTTTTTCTATTACAAGCAATATAGTATCAGTGCAATGTTAAACTCAAAAAGCAATAAGTAGAAGATGAAGACCCTATCTATCATGTGGTATGTTTGTTTGTATTTTTTTTTTTTTTTTTTTAACTTCAGTTGGTGTCTTCGCCACGATAGTTTACCTTTCCAGAGGCTAAGAAGAATACAGAGACATTTCAATCCTGACCATCATCATGTGATTCACCATAGGAATCAAACTCAGGACACGCCATGTGAAATACGAGCGTAGAATTCGTCCCCAACCACTGAGAGAGGGAAATGTTTTTCTATTACAAGCAATATAGTATCAGTGCAATGTTAAACTCAAAAAGCAATAAGTAGAAGATGAAGACCCTATCTATCATGTAACCCACCACTTGCGGAGTAATGAGCAAATGGTAAATTGCTCTAGCGGTTACTGTCTTCCTCTTTTAATCCACAACTTTCAGGGTTAATCATATCCCTTTCCCAAGTGTAAATTAAAATATATTAATTTTTAATTAAGCAAATCCCATATATGAATTATTTTTTAAATGTTATTGTTAGAATCTTGATTGATGTCTTCAAATATCTCGTTCAGTTTTCTATGTATATGATTCAGATTAGTTTTGTTTTCTCACCACGCTGTGCACGCACACCATTTAATAAAAAAAAATTTGTTGAAACGGTAGTGTAGATTTAGTTTAATAATTAGTTTTGCTTTCTTCGTCATGTAATTAGTCTTTTCAAAAAGAACATGTCAATAAATATGTCAATATGTCAATAAATATCAAGCTTAACAACATAATAGTTATAAGAACTCGTTCGGAAATGTTTTTAAAATGACTGAAAATATGTTTGGCCCTTTACCACAGTGATGGAAAGGGGTTGATTATTTGCATTACGGCATGAGTTCGAACCCCATCAATGACTAATCTAATATCTAATATAACAAAATCTATCATTTGACAAAAAAAAATGTTTTTAAGTACTAAAAACACTTAAAGTACATTTTAAAAGAAATATCTCGTGGTAAAAACTTCAAATATTCTTTACTAGAATTAATTAATTCTAAAAACATTTTTATCAAAAAAAATTTCAATCATTTTAGACATACTTTCAAACACGCTCCTTGTTAACACACCCACTACATAAATTAGCACATAAACTTTGTTGGAGACCCATGCGATGCCTGTGGACCTTTAGATTTGATAATCAATGTACCAAATGATGTTAGGCTGGTAGGGACTCTTCGGAAATGAATTAGATCCATCATGCCATGATACCATGCTTGGCTACACCCCATGTGATATTTCCTCACTTTTTAATAGGTCAAACTTCTTTCCTGGTATTATAGCCAAATTGTGATGTGTACAGCTAAAAAATTACACATGTTTCACGTTACTCAATTCATGTTGGCCAATTTATGTTATCCATTTGTTAACCTTAAAAATTCACTACATGTGAGGATCTAAAAAAGCTAGAAAACAAGTACTCACCAAGAAAATTAGATAACAAGCCTAGAATAAGGAAAGCGATAATAAAAAAGGGTTGAAAAACTAAAATAATTCAAACATAAACACAATGATAAACTTGAAGAAAGCTATATCAAAATGAAAATTGAATGACAAGCCTAGAACTACTAACTTGCTAGCGTAAGTTGGTTCTATAGAAGTCAAGAATGATTTGAAGAGTAGTCCAACATCAGAAGATACAATAATCTAAGGTTTAAAAATTAGACGGTTCACTTCTAATTGTATCGAGGCCTCATCCTAAAAAAAAGAGTGACCACAACCACGAATGCTCTCCTCAACAAAGTGATATCCACTTGGTGGAGGGAGATATATCTGGACCAAGAGTTCCCAGCAAACCAAAAAGCAAGAATTACAAAATCAACGTTCAGGATTCTTGACCCATGTTGTCATGAGCTTATCGATAGAGCTTTCCGTATCATCCTTACTCCTCACCGGAGTTGGAAATGGCTTTTCGAAGTTCATTGCTTATGCAAGGTCTTCCATATATGATCCATGATGGGAATCAGATCAGGTTTTCGGATCTTGCTAATTAAGAATGATCAATCTTAGTGAAGTCAGTGGAATTTGCCTACCTTTATGGAAAACACGATATAGTGGCATCGTTGGTCCATGTGTGCAGCTAAATCTGATAAGAGCTGTTGAGCCCATGATTGGGTTTCTAAGGTATTTATATTCCGTCGTCTTATTCCAGTTCTAAAAAAATATGGTCCTACAAATATTTACTTTTGTTATGTTGGAATATATATTTAATAATACTAGAAAAATAATTTTTAAAATAAATTTGTAAACCAAATAATATGTTATGAATAAAAAAACGTTAATCAACACTACATTACCCATAAATATTTAGCCACCCTGTCGCCCTCAAATATCATCCCCCGTTTCATTTTTCTTATCAATATTTCCGATTTCAAGAATATAAGACGGAGACGGAGAGAGAGATACCGAGGCTTTACCTAATTAATTAATCATAATTATGTTTTTAAATTCAAAAAAATTAACTAATATTTCCAATGCTCATTTTGTAACCTCCGATTCCTCTCTCTGTATCCGAACAAACAAAACGACGCCAGAGCCATCACACCACATATGCTCACAACTCCATATACAGGAAAGAGAGAGAGAGAGGGAGAGAGCAGGATAGAGAAAGCTTCGTAACCGACTCTGCGATGGAAACCGACTCCCAGATCTTCCAGAAACCCTAGCTTTCCTCCCAAGATTCTCCCATTCCTCCAGGAACCACTTCTTTCTCTCTCTCTTCTCTGCCTCCGCTTCCGCCTCCGTTTCTTTCGCTCCTCTTCTTCTTCACTTCCGTCTCCGATCAAGCTTCTTCGTCTTTCACCGTTGAAGAACCAGAAAATCCTCCTCCGTCTTCCATTTCGGCGGTCCAGTGCCGGTTCGCGCCGCATTTCCGGTTCGCTCAAATTTCTGGCGAGAGTGAGAGAGGGAAAAGCCCTAGGACCTGTGGTGATTGATCTGATTGCGGATTCTGGATTGAGGTTATGGTGTACTAGATGAGTACCATGGACGATAGAGGAGGAGGCTCATTCGTCGCCGTTCGGAGGATTTCTCAAGGTCTCGACCGCGGCGGCAACACCTGCCATTCAACTTCTGGTAGTCAACTTTTTTTCTCTCTTCTATTTTGCTTCGCTTTTTTTCTATTTATGTTTGCTTTCCTATTCTCTCTCTCTCTCTCTCTCTCTCTCTTAGAAAGCGAACTTTCTCTATCTCTCTCTCTTTCTTCCCCCCCCCCCCTCCCTCCCTCCCTCCTTCAGCATTTCTCCATTTTTTTAGAATATTTTTCGGAGCTTAGATCTGCTATTGAGATTGATTGAGCCCGTAGTATTGGTTAAATTATCGCTAATTTGATGTTCTCCGATATTATAGATTGCTTTGGTGCGTGAGTCAGTTAGATTTTCATCTCTAATTTTATATGCAAATTTTTGTTCGATTGAAACTTTGATTCGTCACATTTTCGATTTCTGAATGCTTATTTAGTTGATTTCACCTTTATTTTGAACAATTGGTGTAAATTTGTATTCGGACTTCGATTTTCGATTATTTGGAGCTTTCTAGCTGAAAGTGATGGGAAAATGTATGCAAAAATTGAAGAAAAGAGCTACATGTTTATTTTATCAATTTTGACTGTGGAACTTTAATTGTCTGTGTTCATATTTTATTTGAATTTACTTTAATTAGCTATTTATTATTTTGCACTTTCACTTTTATAAGTCGTTGGGCTAGTTTCTTTGAACTTCCTTTTACTATGAAATGTGGGGGCTCTACTATCTTTAAAGTAGGTTGCGTGGTTTATTGTAATTGCAGCAGTTTAGCTGCTCCACTGTGCAAAATCTACGAGTTTTGCTGCTCCATTATGCAAAATCTATGGTGGTGGCTTGAATGAAACATTTACGGATCTTAACATGTCATCTTCGAGAAATCTTTAAAACCATTGTCGGTTATTGCACGTTGTTTGTATAGTACATACAGCTTTTATGTAATCATTTTGCAGTTCATACAGCTTTCCTTTGAGGATTTGGAAAACCATGTTCTTAATCATTGGGAGTTTTATTTTGTTACAGCGGAAGTTGTAGCAGGATCAGCAGCATGGCTCGGCCGAGGTCTTTCTTGTGTGTGTGCACAGAGAAGAGAGAGCGATCCTCGTCCTTCCTTTGATTTAACCCCTGTCCAGGTAACATGCTTGCAATTGTATAAACTGTGTTTGTCCATTATATGTGCCAGTGTTGTCTTTAAGTGCTTAGTTTTCACTTCCGCAAGGGGAATTCTTGTTCTCCAGTGGTTTACTTAAATACTGAAATCTCCTGAGTGCAATACTTCCAGTTTCCCATTTTTTGACTCCTTTTTATGCTCTTGTTTGTTTATCGCACATGGACTAGTTATGCATAGAGCTGAATTATAATTTTAACCTCTATAGATTTCTGTGTTTATTTTTCTTGGGAGGAATGTGTTGATTATGTATGCCTTGGTTTTGTCAGGAGGAATGCTTGATTAGACTCCAGAGCCGTATAGATGTTTCCTATGACAGTTCAGTTCCTGAGCATCAGGTATATATTAGTCCACAGATTCCAGTTACAGTAAACCTAATTGTGTTTGGGGTGGATATGCATGAATTTTTCATTTTGAATTTGTACACATAGTTCAGCAACATACTTAGATCTTCTTCTCTGGTTTACTCTAGGAAGCTTTGAGGGCCTTGTGGAGTGCTGCCTTTCCCGAAGAAGAACTTTGTGGTTTAATATCTGAGCAATGGAAAGAAATGGGTTGGCAAGGGAAAGATCCATCAACAGACTTTAGGTAATTCTAATATCTCCATCGTCATTTGGACACCTCATTTGTTGCTAGCTTTTTTGTTTCTCTTTTTACTTCTTTCGTTACCAACTGTTAGTTGAATTTTCTGCAGGGGTGGTGGTTTTATTTCATTGGAGAATTTGTTGTTCTTTGCTAGGAGTTTCCCTGTATGACCTCTCTCTCTCTCTCTCTCTCTCTCTCTCTCTCTCTCTCTCTCTCGTTCTGGTATACACATTTATGTACACCATACAGTTTTCACCTGCCAGATTTAACATCATAATGCTATTGATCACTCTGACCATTTATTGAAGTCAATGTGATCAACAGCATTAAGAACTGCCACACATCCCAGATTTGACATTTGTAAAAACATATATGTATGTTGTCTTGAAATCATAAGAGACAGAAGTCAAGGTAACTTGAATACAAATTTATTTTCATATACCATGGACAATATACATGCAGTGGCTGATAAATTGTGAAGTGTTGCTTTAAGTTCCTGTGCATTTTCCCCTTGCGTTATCTCATGTACTTCTAGGTTTATTTCTGTTGTGCTTGTGACAAAAAATGCTCTCGCCGTTTATATGCTACCACATCTTTTGCTTCCTTTGCCCAGCATCATTCCTCTGTGGGTGTGAGTACACAGTAATATGCATCTCTATTTGGCTATTCTTGCATGTGTGGTGTAAGTTCTTTTTGGTTATCGTAAAGTTGCTGCCCAATAGGGAACTACATTAGGTCTATCTTATAAGCTACTTGTGTCTCATTGAAAGTAAATACTTTCATTGTAGAAATCTTTCCAGGATCTTCTGCGAAAGCAAGAAGGTGATAGGTCAGTGTGGGAATACCCATTTGCGGTTGCTGGTGTGAATATCACATTCATGCTCATTCAAATGCTCGATCTTGAAGCTGGTTGGTATTTCTTCTTGTTCTTTCTTGTTCATTTACATTCTTATAGTTTTCAGGAATATTTGCATTTCCCGACAATAAAAATTATTTGTATATTGTGATTTTCTGTACATTTTTAGTTGTTAAATCAGCTACAGTGCACTATAGTCACTCAAAAATTGATTTCTTGTTCTTTTGAGTGCATTGTAGCTGACTTGTCAATTAAAGTTTTGAGCATTCAAATGTATTTCGTGATATTGGTTTGTACATGGTCACTGTAAGAACTTGCTAAAATGCTAACAATACCTAAATTGAGAACAAAGCATTAGGGTTTAGGGTTTAGTTAAATGCTATGTGAAGTTTGCCCTAATTATTAGTGATAGATGTAATTGTAAGTTGATTAACGCAAAACCTTTGAGGAATAGGAAGTATAGTGGTAGTGAATATTCTTCTAGATAATAGCTTTTGTGTTTATTTTATACGTTTTTTTTGTCAGTTGACAGTGTTGTTTATGTGCAGTCAAACCACGAACACTGGTGGGAGCTACTTTCTTGAAGTTTCTTGCAGGTAATTTCAGCTTGAATGTGCTGTTTCATGTATTTTGTTCAATGTAATAATGTTTTTTCTTTTCGTTTGACAGAAAATGAATCAGCGTTCGATCTTATCTATTGCATCACATTCAAGCTAATGGACCATCAGTGGCTTTCCATGCGTGCATCCTATATGGATTTCAATGTACGTATTTCTCAAGAAGTCCTCCCTTTATCTGCATTTGTGGCTAATCCTTTTGTATATTATATAACCTTCTAGTCAACCGTAGTTTCCCAAATGCTGTGAAAGTAATGACATTAAGGTGTGGGTAACTGTAAACCTCATCAGTCATCATGTGTCCTGAGTCTGGGGGTGAATTTTGTATATAAAAGCGGTGTTGTGGTTACAGATTGCTCCTTGTAGAAGTTTCACACTTCTATGTGGAGGTGGATAGAGAATTTTGGTTCGGGACGAAGTCTATTATGTTTCACACGTTTGATTTGTTAGTTTCTTGTGCTAATATTTTGTCCTTGTTCTGTTGTGTTCTTAACAGACAGTGATGAAGGCCACACGCCGGCAGTTGGAAAAAGAACTTTTGCTTGAAGACGTAACACGGCTGGAAGACTTGCCCTCATATGGCCTTCTTTCCCGATAGTGTAGAAGCTTGTCGTAGAGTCTATGTAATAGTCCATCACAACTAGTTACATGATCATCGGCAGCACTGTTATTTCTAACCAGACGGTGTTTGTACATGACATGATGCTCCCGAAATTTTCTTGCAGCAAGTCAGCATATTGTCAATGGTTCTTGGAAAGGGTTTTGGTTTTTAGTTTCTCGGTTAAGAGGCTGGAACAAGCGCGATGTGATTCAGGTTTGAAATGCGGAGTATAAATCTCGTACATCTGGGTTAAGACCGGAGCATCCTTCTCAGTACTCCCATGGCCACGGGATGTTAAATACATAGGTAGAGGTATGTTTGGTACCGCGTCTGGGAATGTCGAATGGGATTCTGTTTGGATTTTTAACGTTTGATTGCTTTCTGGAATATTATTGTTTGATAACTGATGATGGTCATCAGTTGCAGGGGGACTTGAAAGCCCCGTTTGAAGATAAAGGTTTGTTGTCGTTCGGAAATATGTAGAGTTGGTCTTGTTTTCCAAAATACCTGTGGAAAATGCCCTTGTACGAAAGGAAGTCTTCATTTGCCGATTGGTCCAAACTGTACTTATTCCATTGTGCAAATTGACTCGAAACGAAGTTTGCAAAAATGGTTGGACCTAGTTTTGAACCGAAGCGTTTATCTTTTAGGTATTCCTTAAAAAATACATTTAAATGGAAAAATGTCTACGTATGACCATATAAATGGACAGACACTCTTATAACCTATGAAACTGTCCAACTTGGCCGAATTATTGGAGGAATGAGCTTTTGAATAAGGACTTGAAAAATGAGATTACATTGTGGAGTATGCTAAAATGAATGCTTGGCATCGTATTACCTTATTAACTGGTTATCGCTTGAGCGTTAATGTGTAAAGAAAACATTCCCGACCTTTTGAAATGACGTTTTATCAGACTAGTAAGATGATGAGACCTCGTCAATGGATAACAAAAAAGGTAGACTATCCACACATCCATTTTTTTTTTTTCAGCTCTCCTCTCAATTTTCGGCCGTCAGATCGAATGAATTGAAGGAGGTCAATGACAATAAGTTAACAAGAGTGTGTCAAAGATAAAAATGAGTGTGTAAATAGCACTATCGTAGAAGAAATATTCCCCCTTATTAGTGAAGAGAATATGGGTAATTGAAAGAGATGCCTCACTACTGAGTCCATTGCCAAGCTTGGAAAAGAAACCGACAGCTTTGCAACTCATGGCACATTAACCTTGGAGATGACAAGGGAGAAACGTGAGAATATAGGATATAGGAAATAATGTATTTCGAATTATTTTTAGCTTCACACTTTGTATGATGATTAGATCTCACCATAGAATATACGAAATAATATATTTTATCTTTAAGCGAAGGAGAATACTATTCCTTTCGTGTATACCAATAAAATAGAAAGGGGGAATTTTTGGGTAACTGAAAGTGATGCCTCACGAATCATCCATTGGCAGCCAATACCTTGGCAAGGAAAGCAACAATCTCTACGAGTCTAAAAAAATCAGAAACTACCTTATGCCAAGGTTAGATGTTCTCACACGCAATACGTTAAACTTGTACAACGCATCAAACAAATCCCTAGTGGATTCTCGATACCTCTGACAAACGACTACCAAAATCATTAACACGGCAAAAATCCTTGATCACAAACTATTTGGAATTGGAGGGAAACATTAGGGTTTGACGAGATAAATTTTATTTTAAATGTTTAACAATTAGTTGTTTGAAAAAGGAGAATCAGTGAGGTATTTTTTGCCATTGTAGTAAAGTTCCATTTCGAACGACGATTGGAAATTCTTTCATTTTGGAATTCCAAATAAAATAATTTTGCTTATATTGCTAATCAAACTATTTTGGGATTGGGTGTCTAATTGAGCTACAACGTCGTCTAATTGAGCTACAACGTCATCACCACTCATTGCCTAATATAAAAGTATAATGGCCGCGATGACCAAGGCAAAGTTGTAGGGCAACAATGAAGGTGAGTTTGGCGGCAAGGGTGGTGTGGTGGTTGATCATTAAGGTGGCGGCAGCTGGTTTTGACAATGGTGGTGGTGACAACGACGGTAAGGAGTAGACCCGGTGGCTACAACGGTAGCAGTGGCAGATTAAGTGGCAACGGGCAGTGTCATTCAAAGTAATTTTTTTATTTCTGGAAACTCAGATTGTAAATCCCTCCATCCACATAAGTTTATGACGAGCAAAACTTTAGAAAGAATTCAACTAACACACAAAATAAACACTCCGATATGAAACTTGATTTGAAAGGGCACACATAGAAACCCAGCAGTTCTTAGCAAGCACTACAATAACCTTAAATCTCTCTGGCATCCCAAGGTTCCGAAGAAATAGGTATTACCACACTCAAAATATAAGTCAAAACGTAACAAGTTCATTAGAAGACTAGTCGGAAAGGAAAATATGACAATGGGCGGCACCCGGTGGATTAATCGGACATCCTTTACTCATAGATCCAGTGGTGGACGCTGCTCTGCCAGTTCGCAGGGCCATCGGGGAACCACAGTGCAATCTCCTTCCTTGCACCCTCGGCTGAGTCACTTCCATGAATGATGTTCCTGTCAGCCAATAAAATTTCGTCCGAGTCAAACTACCATCGCACAACAAATGCATAAGAAATCGAGGGTTCTTAAAATTTTAAACTGATCACATGAGATGCAAACAAACTACACAAAACCTGGAAAGACTAGAATATTAACATTCGCCATAATTCGAACCGTCGAATTACCTGCCAATCTCAATTGCATAATCACCACGGATGGTTCCGGGGGCAGATTCTGCTGGGTTGGTGGCACCAATGATCTTTCGGCCGGTAAGAATAACATTCTTACCCTCCCAGATCATAGCAACAACGGGACCTGAGATAATGTAATCAACCAATCCACTGAAGAAGGGCTTTGCAGACAAGTCCTCGTAGTGCTTCTCAGCAAAAGGACGATCCACATTGATGAACTTCATACCTGAACATATTCAGCTAAAAAACTTAGCATAAATTACAAGCTACGCAAAACAACAACAAAGCCTTTTCCCACTAAGTGGGGTCGGCTAGATAAATTACAAGATACGCACCCTAATCAAATCTAGAATGCGACTCACATGCCTTACACAAGCATATTAGCAGAGTACCAGATAGAATCTAAATGACAAGTAGTATAAGAAGACTCAAACTTTTGTTAATATTATTTAAATTTGGGATCTTTTCTCCAATGTTCAAAGATAAACAGCGAAAAAGTAAAGGCAAATTCAACCAAGTTCTAGCCGGGGTAAATTTAGCTAGTAATTTGTTGAGTTGATAATCATTACAAAACAAAGGCATGTGCTAAATACAACAACAACAACAAAGCGTTATCCCACTAAGTGGGGTCGGCTATATGAATCATAGAACATCGGTTTTGTGCCATGTCTTTCGTCAGAATACATTTGAAACAAATTAAATTTATCACAATTCATAAAATATTATAAGATCAATCTTTCATTGAGAATTACCTTTCAAATAGAAGCCCTTCTTCTCAAACCTGCTAATGATGTCACCAACCTAGAACAAACATAAACCTCTTAAAAAAATTCAATTAATTTGAAATAATTACTCCAAATGATAAAATCCATGCAGGTAAATAGAAACTTGCAGCCCCAACACAGATTCATCCAATTTCACGAGTTCTTCAATCACCCCACCAGAAACCCCATATTTTCCCTTCCCAAATTTTCCCACCATCCAAACACCGTAACCGTAACACTTTACATGAAATTCATATACAAAACCATGCATTTACGAAAACCCAATAAAACCCACATCAGATTCTCACTAGTTTGAAGTAAAGCTACAAAATTTAAATAACAAGACAAGAAAATATATAAGCATTTAGAAGAAATTTACCAGGCCCCTTTGGACACCATCAGGCTTGATCATGATGAAAGTTTGCTCCATTTTTGGGGATGATGAAATTCAAATGAGCAGTATAGTTGTACTTCTGAGTATGGAGATGCTGCGATACTGAAAGGCCGAGGGAAGGAGGCATTATATATACGGTAGCCGACAAGCAAACCCTAATTCCATTTGCTCTAGAATATTCGCCAACGAATTTTGAATTTAATTTTCTTTTGCATTGTGGTTTTCTTCTTTGACTATAGAAGTTGGGCCTTCATTATGGGCTGGACATTGTATTTACTTTGGGCTTGATTTAGTACATTGGGCTTGTTTGTGGGAAGAGTTTGGCATTTCATTTCAAACTCAAGGAAGGGACCCGCTACAAATAGAAGCGATTCGAACCGACCTGAACAATGAAATTTGTACTGAATATCGATTTCGTGTTAACAAAATGTAGTATCGATATCAAATACTGACGTCATATCAACAAAATCTATCAAATATCGGTTGCATATCAACGATAACAATATCCATGACACTTTTTCCAACCACGAAGGAGTAGAAAGTAAGGTGAAGATTGCGAAGGAGAACGACTACTTAAATAGCAAACAAGAGGAACAAGAAGCCCTATCGCTCTAATCAAGCTTCACACTTGCGAAGTCCAGCACATTCACCACTGTGTCTCCGATTACAAAACTTAAGTCCACCACCTTCGTCAGCCCTCCCCTCTCCCTCTCGCCACTAAATTTGTTTTTTTTTTTTTTCTAGATAAAGAGAACGAAAATTCAGACTACGACACTTGTATTGTAAAATGATGTCAAGTTAGTGAGAAATGATGACTTTCCTTCTTACTGAAAATGAGAAAAGTATTATACATTAGTTATTAGTTAATGGTTATTACCATAAAATTTATATAAGTTCCTCCTTACGTCCCAATAACTTTTTTTTTTTCCTACAAGCAAAAATATATTGGTATTTCATGAATCATCTGAAACAATACATACGTGCCAATTGGGTATAAAACTCTAGTGACCAAGAAAATGTCTGGAGGTGAATTTGCACAAACAAGACAACAATAGTAAATCCCTAGATGGCTACCACATGTACGAAAACTTCACACGCCACCCACACAAAACTGTCATAAGACGACAGGTATACCATATTTGTATCGGCAACTGCAAAAGGTCACTACCAAATAGCGAGGCCACATAAAGTCATCGTGAAAACGAGATCATATAAATTCATCGTAGGTAGATGAGACCACATAACACATCGCTCAATTCGAAAACCATATCCAGCCAACATTGCAGCGCGGCCACAACTAAGGGTGGGCAAACGGGTAGAGGACTCGTGGGTCGGGGTGGATAATCATAGTTCGAGACGGATACGGGGTCCATTTTTTTTTTTTTTTGAATAAACGAGGCCAGGCAAGGCGGGTCCAAATCTTCAGACCCACAGGGCCCGGGACCAGCCTGTTTCTATAATGCAATGGATGGGCACTGCTAGGAAAATAGAAACCCACCTATTTGAATGAATGGATGGCCCTATTCTTGTAATAATAATACAATGAAATTGGGCCGTTTCTACAATAATAATACAAAATGAAATTGAATTGGCAACTCCTTTTGGGCCCTCTTTCTCTCTCATTTCGAAACCTTCCCAGCTTCCAAAGCCTTCTCCTTTCTTCGATCCCAAACCCAAACCTACCGTCTCCCATTTCTTTCTTTCTCTGCAAGTCTAGAAACCATTCCAATGTCACCAAACTTCTTCAAATCCCTCCATTTCTTATCGTAATCTGCTCTCAGTCTCTCCCTTGATTTTGTCGAAATCTCACTCTGATGGACGGAGATGGCGCATGGCTTCAGATCAGAGAAGACGGTGGGCTCTAAATTGACGAAGATGGTGACAATGATGGCGCAAGGGACATGCTTTTAGTCATCGAAATAGAAAAGACGGTGTTGAAGGCATCATCGTCCGTGGTTGACAGTCTTGTTGTTGGGCATCTGGGTTTCGCGATGTTAGAGGAAGATAACTTGAATGACGTCATTCCGTTCGATTGGACTCGTGGACCCAACTCAAATAGGCCTGAGTTATGCCTGGTTCCAACTTGAGAAATTTCAATACACGCCTCGCCTGGTCCCTTCAAATTTGGGCTCAATCCGGCCGTGCCCACCCCTAGCCACAACACTTGCTAGGCGAGCCAACGTAAATAAACCAAGGAAAACTAAATTAAACTAAGCTAAACCAAAATAAACCAAACTAGTCCGAGAACGGAACCACATGTCGGCTAACTCCGATGGAGGGTTAGTAAACTCTGTCAAAAGCCACCCGCAACGACACAAAATGGGAGTTTAAACTCTGCCAAAAGCCACCTAATAAGTTCATAAGAGATCTAAACTTACTGTAGGAGCTTTAAAAGACCCTTGGTTTCATGAATGCCTCCTGATCCATTTAGGGCATATGTTTACTTACATAGCATGGGAATACCAAAGAATGAGGAATTAGAAGGAATGGGGATGTAAAGAACTGGCGATTGAATATGGAATACAACCTTCCTATGTTAATGAGATACTTCATTTTCCAGGTATTTCATACACAAACTTGATGGAACCCACATAATTAATCCATTACCTTTTAGGTACGTGTTCTTTTACCAAATAGTCTAGCATAATGTTTATGCCATACTTTTCAAATAGTCTAGCAAAATGTTACCAAATTTTGTAATATATAGTGACCAACAAATAGAACACGTATACACACACATATATATACATAATTCTTTTGAATTTCTAAATGATATTACTACTATATGTACAGTACACTAACCACAATGCAATCCATAGATCATTTGATAGTTTCATGGAAAAAGTAGGAGACAACACAAAATTTTCTCGAGCAAATAGTTGGTGGGGGATAGTTGAGTCTCACCTGCAGGAAGGATGTAGGGACGATGTTTTGGGAAATTAAAAACAAAAGGATGAGGAGGGTGACGACGGGCTTTGGAGACAGAAGAGGACCCGCCAAAATATCCGATGCCTCCATCCAATCTTATCATCATTAGATTTGAAAGACTCCAGAAATTGATTGAAAGGGCCATGATTGTTGCATGGAATTCAGCACATTTACTGCATCTCTCTCTCTCTCTCTCATTGCTTCGAACTGTAATCTTTTTGGGAGGATTACTAATTACACTTTTGAATCTTGTATATAGAAATCATGAAAGATGTCGGCTCCTCTTCCTTTCGGTAAACTGAATGGAAGTAGCTGATCATTTTCTCATTGCAATTTCACCAAATGTATATATCATTTGTGCTGGTTGCTTCAGTTTATGGAAATTGATTTCAATAACAATATTTCTTCACCTTGGATGGTTCCAACCAGACTGGTATCTCACCTAGTCATGTGCTGCTCCTCATGGTGACAACCCATTTTCTCTGTTTGTCTCTCTTTGCATAAGTGGTAACAGATACACTCAGTCTAAATTATCTTATAGTTTATCAACGAAAAAAAGTGAGAGTTTATATATAAGAAAATAAATTTAAATTTCTACACACTCTTTTATCACCTTTTGCACATTTTCTCTCATGTTTACTTATCAATAATGAGAATGAAAAAAAAAAAAGGAATGCAATCAACCTATGACTTCCCCTCTATTTACTTGGACGCAAAGAATCAAAATTTGTAATGGAATTCCCTCAAATCGACAATGGAAATATCTAAAAACATGTAAGAGTGATTGAAGATGAATTTCAGGCCTATATTCTTTACAGTATGTATAGGGTTCGATTCCTGACGCCGTGAATCGCACGATGGTGGCCATAAAGAGGCTAAAATGTCTTTGTTAGTCTTCTCAGCCCCCAGAAAGATAGACTGACGTCACCAGCTGATCTTCTTTTTAAGAAAAAGGAAAACAAGTATTTACAATAACCCATCAATACTGTACACCCTAAAAAACATATAACATCACGCCATACTCCAAATCCTTAGTTAGATAGCTTCTTGACAGAATAGCAAAACTTGTTTAGTGGCATAGTGAAAGAATAAGTGGTCTTCCACATTTTATCCCATCGCCGCCACAACCTGTAGCCTTGACCTTATTTGTCCCTTTTCTCCGTATGGTGTCACGTAACTCGTCTGGATTTAAGTAAAAAAATGTTTATTGAACTGTTCGACGCAACCTCTCCTCCATTCTAATTAAGTAAAACAAAATACATATATATATATATATATATATATATATATATATATATATAATCAAGCAAAGGCGACTTTGTATAAAGTTTGGATTCTGATTTAATACAGTCAGTAACCAATGACGAGAATCCACGCCATTTCTACTCTAATTCTCGATCGTTAGTAAGCAGCTTAACGAGAGTGACTAGAAAATGTGCATAAATCATTCCCTAAGACAGAGAAAAAAATTGTTGTTGGCGCATGCCATATCCAAGTCTAGGAAGTATGGTTTGCTTGCAAAAGCAAAAAATATAATTCTTCCTTGTATATATGTAACATTAACATCACCACGAAAAAGCAGCACCAGCCTTTCCACTATCGTATCAGTAGTACTACAATTACACCACCTTCAGTCTTTGACCTCCACAATGGGGTGCACTGCAAATTGCAATATGGTTAGCCAGATCATGTCCCCTCACATACATGGCAAGAATTTCAAAAATAAAAATTAAAAAGAAAGAAAACAGATTGAGTCAAATTCCAATGTGGTTAATGGATGTTGATAATTACACATGACATAATCACTTCCACGGAAAATGTTCCATAATAACCAACAAAATATATGAGATTTTATTCATTGATATGTATGTTAGGGTATTTTAACTTACAAGCATGCAAGTTACTCCAGATTATTTATTTATTTATTTGAACATCGCTCATGAGTTTACCTACTACTTAACTTTGTGTTTTTTTTCTTCGGTGGATGACGTTTTAATACAGTGGTGAAAAGTAAGGATGCCGACAACCTATCTCCAACCCCCTGCCTATAACAACTAACAATTTAACCTAGTAACCCTAACACTTGACAAAAAAAAAAGCTTCATGTTGTAATTAGTGTGTTTATTTAAGAATGTGATTGTGTAAACTTAAAGTAGAATCCCAATAGGATTTGTAAAATAAGAGAGCCCATCATGATTATTATAAATAAAG